TACCCCCAAAGAACTGATGACCTCCTGAATTGTATTTTATTCTGTAAACACATGGTCCCAAGTTCCCTTGCCTGAGCTCTCATGTTTATATCCCTCATTTAGACCTATAAATGTAGGGGAAAAGGAAGCTACTCAGTCAAAGATAATGACAAAGCCACACACTAACTGCAAGGAGAACACAGTAATGATGACCATTTATCTTGCTCAGATCAGGCTTTTGGGTGGTTTAAGGGGGTTGGGGGTCTTTTAGGCATAATGGACAATAAATATATGAACCACGGGATTTACCTGAACTTGGTTAGACCATTTCTGTTGGAGTCATGCTGCATGGCGGAAAGTGCTCTAAATCAGAGGTCAAAGTGACAGGAATCCTAATCTCAGCTCTGTTTCAAAGCATACTAGATGATCTGGACAAACCATTTAAATTCTACACTCTCAGTTAAATCAAGCAGATTCGTTATTCCTGCCTCCTGAAGAGATGTCAAGTTGACATTAAATATCAGCCTCTATATAACTAGAACAAATTAAAACCCATAAATCTGTGTATCAGTAGGTGGCAAACTTGAGTGCTTGCTAACACTGGTCTCCTAAGAAGCAACCAAACCAGAACTGCAAATATTTGTCTCTTAGAGGCTCCCTAGGACAGAATGGTCCAGAATGGGTATGACTAAACCCAGTCATACACGTAAGGTCAAAACAGTTTCTCCAACTGTCATCACGTAAAGACATAAAGAAGTATTGTTAAGGCCAGTTCAGTAGAGCACGATCAAGGATGTTGGAAGGATTATTATGTCCTTATGAAACAGACCTCGATTCTTTCATAGACAGATGGACATGTTTAAATATGTTTAACTGCCTCTGTGGGACAGTACAAATGAGACTGTGGAGGATCCACAGTGTAATCAGCTACTGCTTTCTATGGACACTGGTGCAATAGTCCTGGGTACCTGCTCTTTTGGGCACCATTTCTATCAGTTCAAGACTGCAAACCCCAGATAGATTCAAACTCGTAAGTATAAGCCATTCACTCTCTTGTCTTGAGAGTTAATATCATTGTCTTGCCTCTGTTGTATCTGAGGTTTTATTAATTCAATTCAGCAAATTTTATTGAGTACCTACTATGTCCAAGATAATATGCACTTGAATCCTAGCAAGTGGGTCTTGATGACAAGGTTCAAATGGACTCTAGGCAGTTTCAGCTTTTCGGGAATGGCTGACTACTCTCAATCATTCAAACGTTCAGCTTCATTCACTCTCTTTGTTGTTGTTGTTGGGTTTTTATTGTATGTGTACTGTAACTAGACTAATAAGGTCTAAAGACATTAAAATTATCTAATCTGTACTGAGGATTTCGTTTTTCCTCCCCCATTATGCACGAACTAGTAACTGTAGTCTGTGATCTAGGCCTCCCCTTAGGGTGGAGTCCCCTTCACGGAAATAAGCAGAAGGTTGTGGATCCCAGCCAAAAGTATGCAGGCTGCAGCTCCTACCTGTGTTTTCTTTTAGCACAGAGGAGACACACCCCAGTAGTACACTGGTGGCTTCAAAAGAAAGCCCCAGATGACAGCAGTTCCTATGCATAGGATTGAACGTAATCTTTAAAGGTACAAAAACATTCTCCAAATTGTGCAGGTGGGGGAAGAGGTAACACTTACTCTTTGGTACAGAAACTTCTAACGTATATGTATCAACTGGGAATCTAGGGTAGGAGGTGCTTCGAGGGGAGAGTCAGTTTGAAAGATGGAAAATTTTAGAAAGGCAGCATTTAAGCGATCTGCTTTTAAAAGACAACTTGAAATTCTTACCCAATGACAGAAATGAAGATGTAACAAACTTTTTCAGCTTTGGTAGTACTAGAAAAGCTGGTTAAGACAAGAAAAAGGAACCTAATAATAGAATTGTAATAAGGAAGCTGGAAAAACCAAGTTACATTAAAAAGGCCCTGGGAAACTGTGGAAAGAGCCAAGATGTCCATCGACAGATGAATGGATAAAGAAGATGTGGTATATATATACAATGGAATATTATGCAGCCATCAA